TTATTTCTTTTCAGGATTATCTAGTGTATGTTTAAAAATCAGCTAAAAATTTACCTCCATGTGTCCTTAACAATCTGCACCCCCCCCCCCTCCGACTCCTCCCACCTATGCAAAAATAATCGCTGGCCACAAACTTTTCTCGTTCATTTCATTAATATCATCTTTATTTGTATGTATTTTTTTTACAATTGCACCAGCTCTCATCGCCGGCAAATGTCGAGTCTTGTCTTCCTTTCTTCTTCTTCCTCTCTTTCTTTCAACCAATGTTGACATCACCAGCCTCCTAATCACATCACCGGCGTTGGGTCGTCCAGTGTCCTGAGGATGGGTCTCCAAGCTGGTCTGCGTCTCCGCTGGCCGCTTTCCCGCCTACTGATCTCTCCTGCTCTGGGCTGGACCAGCTGGCAGGACCTGCTTCTTCTAATGCATGACACCAGATCAGTCTTCTCTCCTATTCATACAGACTAAAGGGGAAAAAAAGACAAACAAACTCTATCCTAGACAGGGGTAGCAGTTCGGTGTGGTCTGCCATGGGGGGGCGCTGTCCTGGGGGCTCCACTGCCTCTTCCTCTGCTCCGCTCACGGTGCACGGCGGCCCAACCTGCGTTGACCAAACAACAACCTTCCCCCCATCAATCTTCCCTTTGCTCCCACCTCTCCTCTCTTCCATCTCTACCCCTTGATGTGTTGCTTTTATCTTCCCCAACACACAGAAAGACGCAAACACACACATGCCGACCCTTAAGGGGGAAGTACAGTGCGCAGCCTCAATAGTCTACACATGTTCACCACGTCACAATGCCTAATCATTGTATTATTCATATTATTTAGTTGATTTTATTATTCTTCTATTTTTCCTTTCTTCTGTTCTGTCTTTCCTTCTGTATTTCCCTGAAAAAAAGAGCTTATAAGACACATATCCATACATCAAGACAGGGCCTGTGGTTATTTGTCTGGTGTTGCCGTGTAATCATTTGCTAATTTATTTGATATGTGACTTGACCTTAATTTATACAAAATAACAATAAGTATGGAAGGTGTTTGCATTGTATTTTATTTTAATAATTGTCGTATTATTGTTAATAGTGCTAATATCTTTTCTTATTTTTTGTTTTCTTCCCCCCAGAGTTTCCATGCTATCTGATATTTGTTCTATTCCTTATATTGTTTGATATTTTTGTTTGCAGCTAAATAGAAGAAAAAAAAAACTTGATGAGGCCCCATAAGAAACTAACCCAACCCTAACCTTTATGCCTAGTTCTAAGCCCAGTCCCACACCAGCCCAGTCTAATTTCAAAACTTACTCTAAATATAATGGCAAAGCAAACCATAATTCTTGCTGTCACCTTACTACACATTACCTATAATAAAAACCATTACCACATCCCTAATGCCAACTGTTGGCCAAACTCCACTATAATAAAACCAAAAAACTGTAAACCAAAACTGTCACGTCTTGCCCATCATTTCAGCCACACCTCCTCATTCTCCTCCCTGGTGTGGAAGTAGCCTCCCAGCTCATGCCATCCTCGAGTGCTCTGGAGAGAGAAAACTTTACCTTCCAGGGTTTTTATCATTTTGGTTGTGGTTGGGTTCCATGCACAGTGCAGGCCAAATCTCATTGTCCCAAAAAGGAGCCTGAGGAGTTTATTATTTCGAGGGAAGATTCGTTATTCACTTAGTCTGACTTGCTCTGAATCTCTGACTCTGACTGAATCTGGCTCCAGAAGAGAGGATAGGATGAGAAGGTGTTGGAAGCTTCAGACTACAAGTTCAGCAAAGTGGCTCGATGCGGTACAGTTTGCGGCCTCTTGGCTCGTGCGACACGGCTGAGCTGATGGTTTCCTAGCTTGTGGGATGTGGCTCAGCTCGTGGCATCACAGCTCACGGAACGCGGCTCAGCTCGTGGCCTCTCAGCTCACGGCTTGCTAGCTCACAACACACAGCTCAGCCCATGGCCTCCCAGCTCGCGCCACGCGGCTCAGCTTGCGGCATCCCAGCTCACGCAACGAGGCTCAGCTCGTGGCCTCCTAGCTCACGGGACACGGCTCAGCTCGTGGCATCACAGCTCGCGGGACGCGGCTCAGCTCGTGGCCTCTCAGCTCACGGCTTGCTAGCACACGACACGCAGCTCAGCCCATGGCCTCCCAGCTCGCGCCACGCAGCTCAGCTCGCGGCATCCCGGCTTACGCAACGCGGCTCAGCTCGCGGCCTCCTAGCTCATGCCACGCGGCTCTCCTCATGGCCTCACAGCTCACGCCATCCTCGAGTGCTCTGGTGAGGGAAAACTTTACCTTCCATGGTTTTTATTATTTTGGTTGTGGTTCGGTTCCATGCACAGCGCTGGCCAAATCTCACTGTCCCAAATAGGAGCCTGAGTAGTTTATTATTTCGAGGGATGATTCGTTAGTCTCTTAGTCTGATTTGCTCTGAGTCTCTGACTGAATCTGGCTCCAGAAGAGAGGATAGGATGACAAGGTGTTGGACGCTTCAGACTACAAGTTCAGCAAAGTGGCTCGATGCGGTACAGTTTGCGGCCTCTTGGCTCGCGGGACACGGCTGAGCTCACGGCTTCCTAGCTCGTGGGACGTGGCTCAGCTCGCTGCCTCCTAGCTCACGGGACGCGGCTCAGCTCATGGCCTCACAGCTCACGGGACGCGGCTCAGCTCGTGGCCTCTCAGCTCACGGCTTGTAACATGACCGGATGTTTTATTATTCAAAACAAAAGTTGTACATATCTTTTGTTATATGTATTCAGCACGATCGTGTTTTTAAAATGTACTAACTTTGCGGGGTGGTGGGAATAAAGCGTATTTAAAGGGGTACCTCTCGTGGACTCTACCAATCTTTACCAGCTTTTCAACCCTGAGCCACACGGAGACTGGGGGTTTTAGCTGTGAGACTCGACACCTATGCATTATAGATCCTCATGTCAGCTATGGTCCCCATGTACCCAGTGTAGGGTCAGGTCCAGAGAACGACCCGCCAACATTTTGCGTATCAACGAATCTGTAACCATTATTTCAATTCATTATATGCTGAGTTTTATGCAATTGTTTTTGGCTGAAGCATAAAAAAACTAACTACGAGTGCACCTGGTTAATAGCATTTAAGTTATAACAGTAGGAGCTAGTAAACTGCATTTAGCAGATAGACTGGGAAATACGGAGGACAGAATGACGCGGACGGAACGCACCATGACTTTCTTACTCCA